CCATGTCCCAGACGGTAGCCATATGTCCATGCCCATACGTAGCACTACTAGGACTCAGGTTATTAAAAATTAAAAGGAAAGAACATTAAGTCAGGATAGAGACAGGATACAGACCCTAGAGAGACATGGAGGGACATAATGGTGGATGATATAATCAAATGAAAATTTCAAAGAATAAATAAAATGTTATTCTTAACAGTCAAGAAGATAATTATTAAAACTATTTTAAAATAAAAACCTATGACTGAATTGCAAATGATTTCAAGGATAAAATGTGGTGATTTCTTAGACTTTAGATCTCCCAATCCAGTGCCTGCCTCTACAGTTTACCACTGATTAGTCCCAGGGTAAGGGGAAAGCAATTGTGGGTAGCTTGCTCTTGTTGAAAGCCTATTCTAATATGGATGGCCATTAACCTGAGTACAGAAGCTTTGGTTGGTTGATCTGTGTCCCTTAGAGACTTCTCCCTGACATGCTCAGCCAACATCTTAACACTTAAGTCATTTCCTTGGTGTTTTCTCTCCAGCTCATCTAGTTATACATAAGAGTCTTTAGTGGGTTCTCCAATGAAAAAGCAATTGTATCAATTAATTGATACTTAGCTGTGTCACCCACATCTGAAATAACACAAGAAAATTAGACTTCAGGAACATCTATGAGATCTTGTGTGAGGCTTGTTAGATCCCAGATTCACAAATCATTTCTTCAAAGTCACTCTAAGACAGGAAGTCTACATCCAGGTCCGGGCAACCTGTAGATGTGGCTTCCTACATGTGTCAAATTCCCTAAAGTCACAGGTAGTCATTTGGCTCAAAGTGGCTGTGACAATAATTTATCCTTAGCTTTCATGCCATGCTAAAAAAAAATGTCTTTATAAATGGGGTGCCAGAGCTGTTTGCCAATTTTAAAATGCCAGCTGGAAACCTGCTAGGGTAAGCAAGGAATGTGGATATGTGTGAGTGTGTGTGCTCTATAATTGGAAACAGTTTTTCTGTCTAATTAAAAGGACCGCATATAGCATCTCTTGTAAACAGAGATGGATAGAACTTAAAAACCATCTTGTATTTATTTTTCAAAATTTTGAACCTGTTCACCTCCTCTTCCCTAGATCCTCCCATTACTACAAGGGCAGGCTTCACTCCCAAGGAAAACTGGACTTGACGAGGAAAGAATCATTTATTAGAGTGCTCTTTAGGGCCATATTTTCTTCCTTTATAAAAGTAAGAGAGGAACATAAGCCCATACCAGTCTTTACAAAGAACATGTCTAGACATTGATTCTGTTACTAAGTTCTCATACTCAATTAAGGTCACACTGTGTCACTAAGAGCTAAAGAGCATCTCTTTTTAGACCTGAAATCTCCAGAAATTTCACTGCAGGTAAAGCCAGTGGCCTTGGGGAAGACTCCAGAGTATGTCTCAGATGGTGGAAGGCTGACTGGGTGCTGCTTTCCAGTCCCGCTTATTATTGGTCTGACCTAGTGAAGAAGACCCTGCTTTCTAGGTTCCTGATTTCTCCTGTAGACTTTTCTAATGCCTAGCCACCCCCACCTTATCTTTGGCTGTTGAACTGGCAGTATGATTGTGCAAAATCTCAAGGAATTTTGATTTATGAGAGGTCTGCCAGTCGGGTCTGATTCTCATGAATCAGGCGAGGCACGTGATTGCTACTTATGATGGTTTGGAACGGATTTGCTCCAGGGTTCACTTCTGATTTTGAGGCTGAGTTACTTTGTGTCATTTGGCATGCCTTCTCACATTCAGGCTAACATGAGAAGCATTGGCTTGTGCTTGTGTGTGATTCTGTTTGGGCTGCCTTAGCAAACTAATACAGACTTGATGGGAAGTAGGGCTGAATACAAATTATTAACTTCCTTTCTTTTGTTTTTGGATGCTGATCATCCAAACTCAAATTGCCACTGTGGTTAATTTTCTTTCAGGTCTTCTTTAATCCTTCACAAGAGGATCCCTCTGTTGATTTCCCTATACATAGGGTGAGTTCACTACACACACTTGCCAGTGGTATCACATTGCATGTCCTAAATTCCTTCCATGATGTCATCATTCAGACTGAAGTAAGATTCCCCATTATGACCTTATCTTACTCTCTAGTCTTTTGATTGCCCTATGTCTAAACTATTCACAGCTGAGGTTTATAGCTGGATATAGGAAAAGATCTACAGGAAGAAAATTTACCTGTCTCTAGACAACATTGTACATGGTTTGGGGACAACCTTCCTCTCAACGTTACTCCACTCCATTGGCCATAGCTAAATCCATGTCTCCAGTTAAATGCCTGGAGGTTGGACCTTAACTCTTGCCTAAGCTTGGCTTTTCCAGATGGGAATCTACACTGACAGAAACTGCAGGTTTTGGGGTTCTGTCATCCAATCACTGCCTCTCCCTCGAATCCAAAGGCTTGTAGCCATCTGACCCCCTTATCCCACAATATGGAGGTGACATATGTGACATGTGGTACTCTGTTACATCCTTCCTGGAGATCTGGAAGACACAGCAGAAGCCAGTAGGAAGGCTTGTGTGGGTACTTTGTTGGGGAAAGGTGGAGGAATTACTAGGAGAAGGAGGCTTCCCCAGATCTCCCACAGTTAAGTCATGTGTGTCCATTTGGCATCATGGCACAACAGTCAAGACTACAGCTCCAAGGTCCCATGGGTTTTTGTCTTATGTGAAGTGGTCTAGGACCAGTCCCTTGGCCACACTGAGCCTCAGGACACACTAGTGAGCATCACAGAGTTATTCTTAGCACTGCTGTCCTGCACAAAAACACTGGGTTTGGCAACTGCAGGCTCTCAAAAAATATTTGGCAAAGGGTTATATGGACAGACAAAAATAGAAACTTTAAATAAATACAAAGGGTGCAAGCGACAAGGTTCTAGCATGTTTGAGAAGATGCACAGTGTGTTCCACATCTCTGCATCCTCTAGTGTATTTTCAGCATTTTCTAAACAAAAGGAAAAGCCAATTGCAACCGTCCCTGCCACCATCAATTCTCCGCTTCATCTTCACACCCTTAACCTCAACCCTGAATAACCAGCCATCATTTTCCACCCTTATGTTCTGGAAATTTCATACATCTGGAAGCATAAAGCTTAATTTTGTGACTCGCTTCTTCTATTTTTCCTATTTTCAAGTTTTGGCTGCAGGAAAGCATGTTGCTGTTAAAAACAGTATTCAATGAGGGACACAGACTACCATGTTATTCATTCTTTAGCTCATGAACATTTGGGCTGCTTCCTTCTACTGTTTTAAATAGAAATGAGTGCCCTTTTGTAGACATTTTTGTATGGCTCCTTGTTTTCATTATTGTAGGGATCTTACTAGAACTGGAATCTTTGTGCCACATGGGAAATCTCAGCTTAACTGTTAGAGAAACTAATTCTTTAAACGACCTGATAATCTTTAACTTGTGTTTCCCTCTCCAGAACTGATGCTGCCTGTATTTTCATCTTACTACTCAGGGATGCTCACAGCTGCCTTCAGGGAGGCTATGGCCATTGCTTAGCCAGCTATACCAGGCTGTATTCAACTAAACACTGCCCGAAGGCATCTGGTGGTTCTATGAAGGGGATCCGAAGAAGCTCCCTTCCTCGGCACTTGGTAAAGGATCTTCTCCCAGGTGCACTCCCATAGAGCATTCCCATGTGCGAAGCTGTCACTGTCATGCTAGGCTCTCCCTGTTCCCTCATCGGGTTTGGTAAAAGAATGCATGAATCAAAGGATGCGTAGGTGCTACAAGCCAAGGATTTTGTGAAATGGAGTTCATTTACAGTAAGAACATTCTATCCCTAAATCTCAGCCCTGAAGCAAGTGAGTTCCCAACCTTGGTTGCATATGACCTCCAACAGGGCCTCTTGTAAGTCTACCATACAACTAATCTAGCCTTCTCTAAGGAGGCTCAAGGAAACTTGACCTTGATACCAAACACAAGAGCCCAAAACTCTAGGAAAGGAAGGCTGAGAGATGAGCTCTGATCTCCCTGATAAGCAACTGTGGGGTTCTGAGGGGACATCCAAAAATTTTCAGCCTGTTATAGGCCCCCATCACCAATCTGCCCACTAAAGTTTTATGCCGCCTAGAGGTCTTTGAGTTTGAGAATTCATGGACCCCTGAAGTAAAAGTGTTCTGTGGGGAGATGTTTATGTAAGAAGCTGTCTGTGGATTGTGGTTTTGGGCCATCTATAATCTGAGATTTCAGACTGGTTGTTTAGTTAAAAGGGGCAATCACTGGGTGGGTGAGTGCTCAGATACAGCAGGGTAAACACTGGAAGAGAGGTGGTGACTCAGGGATCTCATGAAAAGCCCTGAGAACCCTTTGGAAGAGGGAGAGGATTTCTGTTATGCATTGTGTAACTGAGCTTTGTGGGCAAGAATCCCTGGCAGGTTCCCAGCATGTGGGCAGGACCATTCACTCCTCTTCCTTGCAGGTCAAATTCAGAAACTCCATTGACCTGGCAAGAGCCTGTCCCTGCACGATGTGTCTCCGTGCTCTGTGCTTCGTGTCACTAGCAACCTGCGTGGTTTGGGGTGAGTACTTTTGAAAGACAAATTTGTGGGGACACTTTTGAAAATCCTGGCATAGAGCAAAACTAAGACAGACAGATTCAGTTCTGCGGGGGAATTCGCTCCCTTGACTTGGGCTTGCCTTCAAGTGGCCCAGACCACAGCACAGGACAAGTTGAGGTCGGGAGAGGATAAAAACCCTGAGACCCAGCAGCACACTCCAGGTCCAGAAGTGTAAGGAGTCAATCCCAACAGGAGCGGAATCAACACAACTCCAATCAGGCGGAACAGGCGTCCTTGCTTCGCCGGGCTGCGGAGGGGATTAAGTGACTTCATTTCTCAAGTTCTTAAAGGAGAGTCTCCCCTTCATGACTCTCTATGTGGTGGGCCCTCCACGCTTATTTTCTATTAATACACAAGTATGGGATGTATTCATAGAAAATATAGGGTATGGTCAAAATAGCACACCAGGACCCAACAGCCATCAAAAAGACAGTTTGTTATTCATTGTTTCCAACAGGAGCAGCATAGAAGAACTGGGGGTGAGGGCTCTGGAAATGCCAGATCAGTGAGGAGGCTCAAGGCTGGGGATCTGCAGCAAACGTCTCTGTTGTTAGCGTTTCCAGGAATGCTGGAGAGCAGTACTGTCTTGGTTGTCTGGTACCAGGTTCTGGGTGATGAGGGCAGGTGGACAGTGGTCCATGCTATCAAATCTGGGTACAGCAAGCAGTTAGAGTCGTGACTCTGCAGGGGACAGACCCTGAGAGTGACAGTGCCCGCACGTCACGATGGCCTCATAAGCATCACACACACACACATTAAATGCATGGTTAATGTATGGCTATCGCATTGATTTTAGCATATATCTGCGGCATTTTGTTGGTTGAGGAAAGAGACTCACAGGGATGTGTGTTCTTCCAAGTTCATCTGGAAAATCGTGCCCTGGGCTGTCCCTAGCTCCTGAATCCAGAATCAGTGCTCAGCACTCAGTTCCCCCAAAGCCTCACCCTGTCCGGACTTGTGACACTGATAGAGGCCCTGGAACTGAGTGCACACTAGAGTGATGAAGGACCCAGATATGGAGCAGGGCATTGTTGCTGGTTACCCTGGCAACGCCACTCTTTCCATCTTCAGCAACTCCACACAGGGTATTTCCAAATACAATGGGCAGACCAGTAGTTAGCCTGGAAAGACTCTTGTTACGAATACCTCAAAGAAACAGGGATACACATCTGGAACACAGTAGTCATCACATCTGTGTGCAATTTAGATGATGTAAGTCATAACTGCTGTTGGTAACAGTCTCGTTTTCCCTGCCCCCTGCATGCCAGCACACGCCGCTCTGGGTGTTCCGGGTGAAAGTTCACAGCTAATTCAGCCATAGTTGAGCATTTGTGATCAGATTTTGCCCTCTTGCCGCTGAAGCACTCGTTCCTTTATTCGACTCCTCTCCTCTGTCTCCTCCTCCTCCTCCTCCTCCTCCTCGGGTTTCCATGGTTCATGCCTTTCTCCTATCACCACTCTGTTGGGTGTTCTTATTCAGTTAGAGCTCTGTAATCTTGGCTTTTTCTCTTGCTTCACACTCTTATGGTGGCGTCACACACACACACATGCTGCAGGCTCTCTGTCTGGACAGAACCATGTGCGTCCTTTCTGACCTCTGCTGAGATGACCACACACTGCCATCCTTCCTTGTTAATCTTTGCCTCACCATGCAGTTCAGGCTGTACCTTAACTGGCTATGGAGCCCATGCTGGTCTAGAACTTAAGGTGATTCCACTGGCCCAGACTCCCAAGGTTTGGGGTCTTCAGTGTACCTCAGGAGCCCTGAGTCACCTACCAGGATATCTCAGGGCCTTGTCATGGAACCCACCCCTCAGGGAGCTGGTGTTACTCTCTCACCTTTAGCCGTCTTTCTTCCCTTTGCCCCATATCAGGAAGCATATCAGGAAACAAGTCCTCATGCCTCATGCTCACCCCCATGTCTCTCCATAGCAGTTTCTTACCGAGTATAAAAGGGACCTGAGCACAGCAAACAACTCTTCACATAAATGAAGAAGAAAAATCAACGTGCCGTGTTGCCATCATGATCACCTCGTATCCAGGTTTCCCAGGAAGTCTGTTTCAGCGGTGTACTAAAAGTAGAAAGTTAAACAAAACAGTAATTATTAACAGCAAGGACAAAATGAGACAAGCATGTGATTGACTTCCAAAACAGTAATTATTAACGGCAATGACAAAAAGAGACAGGCATGTGATTGACTTCACAGGGTATTAGGCATCGTCCCAGACTTGCAACAGGATTTTCCAAAAAGGTCTAGTGTTAATGGCTGTTTTCTAGAAAGCTCTTCTTAGACTTAGGATGAGTTTGCAGTCTGATAATTTAAGGATATTAAAGCAAAACACACATCATTAATCAAATGTCACTATGTAAGAACATCGTAAGTTGTGTGTCCCCCAGAATTTAACTTGCTTTTATTGAAAATAATTAGCCACAGAAATAAAAACAACCAAATGCCCATATTATGGACCTGGTTATTAAGATCATGTCTCATAGATGCAATCTTGTAAGCTTGATTCTCTATGGGAATAGTATCTATGAGACACGATGCCAAGACTTACGGATGTCAAGGTTATTTCAAAAAAAAAACTCTGGAAGTTTTTTCTGACCACACCTTATTATTACAATATTAAAATTTACACAGTATTGATAATATTTTTTGCCCTTCCAAGCTCCTCTCTATTCTTTCCCACCTTCCTACCCACCCAACTTTATGTTCTTTCTCTCTCTCAAAAACTGTTGAGGGAGGAATTAACAAACTCTCTGCAGCTAAAAGGGAAGAGTTAGGACCAAAAGGTAGAAATTAGGTGTTAAGAGTGATGCTCTGACAGGTAGGCTATTACACAAACAAGGAGATGCCAGACTTGGTGGTGATGGAATTGTAAGGGCACGGATGCCCTCCTGATGCTTAAAGGAGGGTCAGGGTAGTTCTCTCTGGTCCCACAGAGAGTACAAGGACAGAAGAGGAAGCTGCAGGAAGATGAGGAAAGACCATCTGCTATTCAAGAATGGAGCCGTCAGACAGGATATTGACCAGTTTCTCTTCACCTCGGAGGACCCTACCCAGACAGACCAGCAGACTTTAGATCTTAGTGCTTGCAGTGCCAGAAACACTTCAGATACTTCTTCGCCCACCATGTGAAATCTAGTCATTCAGTCAGATGTTCAGTGTCCTCCCCACAAACACTGGACTCTTAGGATTATCTTTTCCCCATGGACTCCACCTGGGCATTAACAGCCCGTTCACCCTTACCAGCCAGGGTCCATGCTATCCTTTGTGAACCTCTTACTTAGCTTGCTGAGTAATCACTCTATCATTCTATATATCTAGCCTTCTTTTTTTTCTTCTGGGTTTTTCAAGACAGGGTTTCTCTGTAGGTTTGGATCCTGTCCTGGAACTAGCTCTTGTAGACCAGGTTGGCCTCAAACTCACAGAGATCTGCCCACCTCCCCGTCCCAAGTGCTGGGATTAAAGGCGTGTGCCACCACCACCCAGCTCTCCATCATCTTAATCATCCCTCCTCCCGCTGAATGTCTCAGAATCTCATGACATCGTCAGTCAGAAGACCTCATTTCTTCCAACTTCTCTGGCACCTGCCTAACTCTTCTTTTGGTATGCATTTCTTTTTTCAGCATCAGGTCCAACACGTCTGTTTTCCACTATGGCCACCTTCCTGAGAGAGGAACCACATGTTCTTCCTCCAGTCCAGTATGAAGCTCATACCAGGGTCCTGATGAATACAGGTTTCTCAAAGGGAACCAAAGTTCTGTTGGGCCAAGTAATTCTTTTTTCACTGTGACTTTGCCTGGATTCTGTTTCACCTCACACTCCAGTTTGATTTTGAATCAACCCTCTGAGATAAACGTTCTTCGTCTTAATTTCAGAAACAAATGAGCCCAAAAGTAATTAGGGGACTTATTCAAGGTCAAGTGCTTAGAAAATGGGAAAACCCATATGGAATCCGGGTCTGATCTTGTCTCTCTAATGTATTCTTTCTCTCCTCCATGTTCCGCAGGGCACGCATCCTTACCACCCGTGGTAGACACTGTTCATGGCAAAGTCCTGGGGAAATATGTCAGGTTAGAAGGATTTGTACAGCCTGTGGCCGTCTTCCTGGGAGTCCCCTTTGCCAAGCCTCCTCTTGGATCCCTGAGGTTTGCTCCACCTCAGCCTGCAGAGCCCTGGAGCTTCGTGAAGAACGCCACCTCCTACCCTCCTATGTAAGCCACTGGGGAGGGCCTGGACCTTGTTCAACAGAGACATCTGTTGAACAAGAGATATAAATATAGAGATATAGAGATACAGGAGGGAGTCATTCACTGGTCCAATAGCCTCCTGGAGTCCTCCAGAGTACTTTAGAAACACTACAGGCCTTTCACTGCTTTCTAGACTCCTCTGTTCATCACCCTCTCTAAACCGATGTTATAAACAGAAGTGGGCATAAGAGGTAAACGAGTTAGTATATGAGAAAAATCAAAACCAGTGTCTGAGGCTCCAGAAAGACTCAATAATTTTCACCAATTCTGTTTCTTTCCTACATTGGTCCTTCGTGATCTCTTATTAGAGAAGTCCGCAGTTATTCTTTCATAAAAGGCTGACAGAGGTCATTGGAAATAGCATTGGCTTTATCTGAACCTGGAAGATGTGTGCTCAGAGCAGAAAAGGTACTCAGCCAATACTGTCCAGCATCAGTGACTATCAGAGGTCATTGCAGGTCATTGAGGTCATCCCATAAAGACATCAGTCGTAACTTGCAATAGGCAATAGGCTAAACAGTGATTTAGTGGTAGTTCCTCAATTCACAGAAGTCTCAATAGGACTAGAAGAAGGTTACCTGATGAAAGGTCAAGGTCACCCTCAGCCCACTGCACTAGACCTAGGCACTGAGAAGGCACTGGTTAGATTTTCATATTTCAGGTAGGGCAGACTATGAAAAACATCTCTCCAGACTGCCCCCAAAGACTCCAGGAAGGGGAGAGATGCCAAGTGTTTCTTCTCTATTGGATTGGGGGACTGTGGGTTCCCACCATTTTTTCCATAAAAACCCTCTTATTATTCCAGAATCCAGTCCTGTGCAAACAGCTCCATTCACAAGCTCAAACATCCTGGTGCAAGGTGGGGACCCAGATGACATTTCTAGCTTCTATATGTTGGAATTTCAGGTATCCACTCTCTCCTCCAGGTGCTCCCAAGATGCAGTGAAGGGGCAGAGGGTCAATGACCTCATAACCAACAGAGAGGAGAAAATTCATCTCAAGTTTTCTGAAGACTGTCTCTACCTGAATATTTACACTCCTGCCGACTTGAAAAGGAGCAGCAGGCTGCCGGTAAACATGGGAACCGCTGGTCTAGTCCCTTGTGCTACAGCATCCAGGTCTTCAGTGGGACTGGAAAGGGATTAAGGCCGCTAGATGCCCAGGTAGACAAGCCAGGACTGGGTCAGGGACCAAGAGCTTCCTTTCACCACAGAAAATGTTAATGTTTCTTCCAAAGACCCCGATTTTGGTGGGATCGCGATACATCTGGAATGTGCAGGTGAAGGTTTTCACGTTCTCTTACACGAATACAAGCCTTTCAGAATGATTGCTCTCAGCTGTTAGCTTAAAAATCTGGTCTCCGGAGAAGTTAAGACGCAATTTACAACCATGTTAGTACCAGAAGAAATCTTAGAGAAAACAAACAGCCCAAGTCTTCTTAGATAGGTAGAGAAACTGAGGGTCAGGTAGGGAAGAGAGGGCACCCAGAAGGAATGGCAGGACAAGAGCTTGGGTTTCCATTTCCAAACCTGTGCTCCGGTGCAAGGGCTGGCAAGGGAGATGTGCGCCGCCTTTCTCCCCGCATTGCCTGTGCCAACTTTCACTGCCAGGTGAAAGCTCTCATGGCCCATGATGGCAGCGTGGAGGGAGAACTCTGGGGCAACCTCATAGGCGCTTTTCATGCCCTTTGTCAACCACCTGTGATTTTACTGTAGCTCCCTCCCCTCCCTGGCTGCCCTTGGCACATGCTGTCTGCCTAGTGAGTCAGCACTTCCCATTGGAATGAAGAAGCAGGGGTAGGGCAGGCTGCCCGTGACAGACCACACACAGCCTTGGAGAGAAGCTTTTAAAGACATGACCCTTGAACCCTTGAAGTCAAATCAGGTAGGGTATGAGCACCCACCCAGTCCCCTGGGAGCACCTGGGATGGAACTCAGAAGGGAAGGAGGAAGCAGCAGGCACCAGAAAAGTATTTGACCCTAAACCCGCTTGCACAAGGAGGTAAGAACAAATCTCACCACCACCCGTTTATTCAGCGTCTGTTTTGGACTCTGTGTCTACACAGTCAGACTTAGGGTCGGGAGAAGCGAAGACAGGAGTCATTGTTCATAGCCTTGCCTTCAGAGATCTTGTTGTCTGGTTGCACAAACCCCTCGGATAACAGCTTCAACACATGATTGACCACCCTGTGGGCTCAGTCTTCAGGATAAACTTGCTCAGGTCATCCGTGTCGGTGGTAGAGACCCCAAGGGGAAGAGAAACAAAAGCTCATAGAGCTTGGAAAGCAAGGGACTGTCCATCTATGCATGCAGGCCCCAGAGACACATAGATTCCACCCGCTAAAGAGCACGAATCACTTGCCTTCCTAGCCTCTATCTTTCCCTCACATGTTATAAACAGGTCCAAGGCGGCTGCTGAGCTGTGCCTGAGACCTAGTGGAGGTTACAGCAGCACTGACATGAGTTGGAGCCATGGGAGCACTGGCTCCTGGCCCAGATCACCAAACTGTGCCCGTGACTGCATTGGTTAGGAGCTCAACTGTGAGCTCGGGCCAGATGGCTGCTCAAGTCCTACTTCCACTTCTCATTAGCGGTGGGATCCCAGCAGAGGTGCCTCAGTTTTTCTATCTATCAAATGGGATAATCTTCATTTTTTTTTATAACTTTGCTCAGATACTTGCCTTCTCTTTCCTGTTTACTAGCAGTGGTGTATAAGATTTCGACTTGATTGTCTCCCAGTTCTTTGAAATGTGAGCTCCTTAAATCCTGAAGCCTTAAATTAACAGTTATTGGATTCCTCCTCAGCCTCGAGCCAGATGAAAGAACCTAGTGTAAAGTAGGTGCTCCTAACAGTAAGATGGCTGAGGACTA